CTAATTTAACATTTAATGATTCAAAGAACAAAAAATTTGTATATATATATATAGGCAGAGGCAGATGTAGAGTGCTTACAACAGGTTCAATTGAACCCATAACTTTTCACACTGAGCAAACATTTATATGTAAAAAATTCTTAAAATTATAAAAATAGTAGATATGAACACATAACTCTAAAAATATAATGAGTTCAATGCTAAAACATAAAAAATTGAATCCATAAAGTATACATCCTAGATCCACCTCTGTATATAGGGTATTCCAAATTCAAAATCTGTGGCTAGAGATATCGATAAACTCAAAACGACGTTATATTGAAATAAAATTTCACCGGCTAAAGAATCATTTAAATTCTTAGATAGCCGACTAAAGTGAATTTTAAATTAAGGATAATGTCTTCACTTGCATCATTATAAAGATAATATATATATATATATATATATATCAAAATAAAAATATTTTTTAAAAGATAACAACATACCAAATAAGAGTTCAAGTCGTAATAAAAGAGTCATGTCGTAACCAAAGAATCATTCCTATTGTGTCAACCTTTGTGCTTTGATATAAATACGAGTTATTATTTCACCTTTTGGCTATTTTTAGGTTCCAATGACACCAATGAGAATGATGTAAAAATAAAATTATCACTACGAGATTTGAGAAAATGTTAGTCTTTTTTCATGTACTGTTTCGTAATTGATATCTAACGATTATCTACAAGGTTTAAAATTTAAGGTTATTTATATATCATTCAAATAACACGGATATTTAATATGGTTAATGTCAAATATCAAAATGGAGTCATACTGGAAAACAAAAATTTACTGGCTAAACAATTTTTTAAATTTTTAGATAGCCAACTAAAATGGGTTTTGAATTAAGGATAATATTTCACTTACATTATTATAAAATAAATTATTATTCAAAAGTAATAGTTTAGAAACTGAAATTTTAAAATAGAAATAATTTTTGAAAGATATCAACACACAAAATAAGAGTTCAAGTAGTAATAAAAGAGTCAAGTCGTATCCAAAGAGTCCTTCATAATCTCAACATTTGATTGTTTGTCATAGATATGAGTTATTATTTTGCTTCCCGACTAATTTTAGGATCCAATAACACCGGCGAGAATGGTATCAAAAAAAAATAGAATTATATCCAGAATTTGAAAAATGATTAATCTTTTTCATGTAGTGTTTCTTAATTAATATCCAATGATTATCTATATTTAATAGAGAAAATTTAAGTTTTAAGATTATTTTCATATAATCCAAATAACTCAAATATATTATATGGTTAGTGTCCGCGCATTCGCGCGAGTGATAATACTAGTAGAAATGCAAATGACCAAAATATATTAGCTTCATGTCATGGAGATTTATATATAAAAGACATAACGACTAGAGATCCTTATATTTTTTTCAATGCTAGTCTATATATTATTGTTCTTTCTATACTAATGTATAAATCAGTTGTGGACCGAAAAAATGCAATTTTCTTTCTTATAATTCTTAATAAGTTTTCAACCCATGATTAGATTGAAGAATATTACCTAATAATCAGATTCAGGCCAAAATATCCGATTTCATACTTCAAATTCTTCGGTGACCGATATGTTATAGTTGTAACTACTAATTCAAAACGGATGACAGCAACGAAAGGTATATAAGTTCGATTCCTAAACTAGATTCATGAAGATCTTGTACCAAAAAAAAAAGAAGAAAGGCAATTATTCCCTCCATTTTCTTTTATGTGATTCTATTTGACTGACTAAGAAAGAAAAGAAAAATTAAAATTTGTGACGTTAAACATATCATAAAATTTAATTAGTATGTGTAGCCATAAAATTAATTGGGTTATCGCTAAGGGTAAAATAAAACATTTAAATTAGATTTTTTTTTTCAAATTTAGAGGGAGTAATACTTTTTGAATCATGCTCCCCATGAAGTTAATCCACATTCCATGACGTATTCGTAGGATTACGATAGCTAGGGAAAAAAAAAATTTAGCACTCTTTTACTTGCAACTTGCAAGTATATCTATTAAGAAAAACACTAAATATAGATAAATATTTTATAATTCAGTTATTCTATTAAATTGAGATTATTATAGGAATTCATAAACTTTTTATTCTGAATCCACCTCCAATATCAATTTGCGTAGTTCGTGATTTATATCTAGAAAGTAGACTAGCAAATATTCACCCTTTATCGACTCATCCTGTCTCTTTATTTTTTTTATTTTTTGGTCTAAGAGACATGGTTAGGGTTTTCCCTTTATCCCATTTACACGACCACTAAAGGAGAACTTTTGGACAATAACACATCCTTTTATTTTTTGGCGAAGAAAATTTTTTATTTCATCACCACAAATCTGTTACAAGCTTTTTCCTCAGTACTTTCCTTTTCCTCCTATTTTTTCTATATACATATATATTAAGCTATGTATTCAAAACATTTCTTCCTATCTATCTGTTCTTCTATTTCTGCATGATCTTCTCAATCCATTCTCTTTCTTGAATACTTGTCTTGCTCTTCAAATAGGTGATCTTCCTCATTCTGCATTCTTGCTTTATCTGCCTTACAATGTATGTAGTTATAGGTAGTTTGAAATCACATACAACAGTATTTCTTGCTTTCCATATCCAGTACACCAAGGCAGCCAATATAGCAGTGGCAACTTCCCTGCATCTTCTCCCTTTAAGTAGTCTGGTTACTCATCTCCAGATCCTGGTTATCTCTGTATTTTGTATGCCTATGTTCATCCACTGTAAGCATTGGTGTGAATATACACATTCAAAGAATAAATGTTGGGTGGTTTCCTCTTCTGTTTCACATATTAGGCATCTATCTTCTTGGCTAATGCCCATGTTGTACAATCTGGACTTTGTCAGCAGCCTTTGATGCATAGTGATCCAGCAAATAAAGTTATGCTTGGGTAGGTTCATGCTATTCCATATCCATCTTCTCCATGTCCAGCTCTCTTTTTCCCCCATTCTCCATATGTATCCTCCCTTTATTGTGTACTTTTAATTGGCATTGCTCCATAAGTTCTGATTATAGCCTGGAGCAAATATTTCCTTGATTCTACATATTTTCTTCCAATACCAGCTAACATCAGTGGGGCATCTGTACTGCCCCAAATCCTTCTCCTTTAAGTAGATAGTGTTGATCTATTTCACCCATAGGTTATCAGCTTTTGGGGTAATATTCCATACATATTTTGCAACAGTAGCTTCATTCCATTTTATTATATCTGTTATCGCCAATCCTCCTTCATGTTTTGCCCTGTACACTAGATCCCATGCCACTATGGGTGATTTATGTGTGACAGGTTTCCCATCCCAGATGAAATTTCTACACGTAGCAGTTATCCCTTTCAGCACCTGCTTTGGGAGTAAAAATAAGGTTGACCAGTAGCTGTGAATGTGAAGTAGTACTGAATTCACTAGTTGCACCCTTCCTGCATAAGACAAATGTCTTGTACCCCACCCTTTGATTCTAGCTGTTATCTTATCTATAAGTATTTCACAATCCATTTTAGATAGTCTCTTAGCTGATATAGGCAAACCAAGGTACCTGAATGGCAGATTTCCTTTCTGATATCCTGTCATGTCTATCAAATCCTTCTGGTGCTGGTTTTGCATATTGACACTGAAGATGTTTGACTTGTTTGCATTTGTAGTTAGGCTTGAAGTTTCTGAGAATGTTTTCAAGCCCCTCAATAGTAGTAGCACTGATTGAAAGGTTCCTTTACTGAATAGTAGTACATCATCTGCAAAGCATAAATGATTCAACTTCAAGTGTTTGCATTTAGTGTGATATTCAAATCCCACCTGCTCTGTAACTATGTTCATTATACTTGTGAAATATTCCATGCAAATGACAAAGATCATTGGGGATATAGGGTCCCTTTGTCTAAGTCCTCTTTCCCCTTTTATGTTCCCATATAAACCTCCATTGATTGCAATTGCATACTGCACTATAGTGATGCATGTCATAGTCCATTTGATAAATTGCTGAGGGAATTTCAGTGCATGCAACATTTTAGTTACAAACTCTCATTCTACTGTGTCGTAAGCTTTCCTCAAGTCTATTTTTATCAGGCAGCTACTTGTGGTTTGTTTCCTATTATACAATCTTACCAAGTCTTGACATATTAGTATGTTCTGAGCTATGGTTCTTCCAGCCATAAAGGCACATTGATTGGGGGATATGATATCTGGCAGGACTTTCTTCAACCTGTTTGCTAACATCTTGGATATTACTTTATAGATTGTATTGCAGCAAGCTATAGGTCTGTAGTCTGTTACTGTGTTTGCGTGATCTGATTTTGGTACTAGAGTCAATACAATGCTATTCCATGCCCTCAATAATTTCCCTGTTTTAAAAAACTCCATTATTCCTGCTTCAAGATCCTCTTTAACTATTTCCCAGCAATCCTTGAAAACCTGGCTTCCATAGCCATCTGGTCCAGGTGCTTTATCTTCATCTATCTCCCATAAAGCTTGTTTAATTTCATCTGTTGTAAACTCCTCAACCAACATACATCTTTGTTCCTTTGAGATTACAGGTCCTTTTTTAAAAGTAGCACTGCATATCCTACTTCTATTCTCAGTTTTAGTGGCAAGTAGAGTAGAGTAATATTTCATAAAAGCATCAGTATATCATTTCTTGTTCTCCCTTCAGTGTCTTTTATAGTGAAAATTCTGTTAGCATTTCTTCTAGCTTTTAGCATGCTATGAAAAAACTTTGCGTTCATATCCCCTGAGTTCAGCCAATGCATTTTACACTTCTGCTTTAGGTACCGGTTCCGTGTCAGATTCCAGTATGAATATTATTTAGCTAGCCTTGCCTCTTCTTCAATCAACCTTATATTTAAAGGATCTTTCTGTAGTTTCTTTTGGCACTCCTCTAGCTCTATTTTTGCCTACACATCTTTCCCTTCTACATCACCAAATTGAGTTCTTCTTATTCCTTGCAGAGTGGCTTTCAGTCTATTCAGCTTCCCCACCAATCTTATACTGCTTAGTACCTGTAATCCCCTTATTCCAGCTATATTCCACTTGTTGTTTGAAGTCAGTGGCTTGACTCCATATGTTGAAATATCTGAATCTGTACTGTCCACTTTGAGGTCCTTGATCCCAGTTAATCAGAGCTGGACAATGGTCCATGAGTCCTTCATTTCCAAAGTGAACTTCTGATCCTAGCAATTTCATCACCCAATCTCCATTAACTAGCACTCTATCAATCCTGCTGTAGACTCTACTATTGTCTCCATGTTTATTGTTCCATGTCAAAAAATATCCAGATGATTTAAGCTCTTGTAGTGAACATCTCCCTACACACTCTTTGAATTCTTTTATTTCTGAAACTGTGATTGGACTCCCCACCCTTTCATCTCTATTCAATACATAGTTGAAATCTCCTATAACTACCCATGATTTTTTAGTGACACCATGAATTTTCTCCAACTCTTGCCATAATTGTCTTCTTAAAGCATGGTCATTAAACCCATACACAAATGTTATCTGAAACTTGTGCTGAGTCCTTCTATGTTCTACCTCACAATGCATCATTTGTGCTGATACATCAGTGATATTTACAGAGAATATATTTGCTTTCCAAAGCACCTATATTCTTCCACCTAGATGATGATATAGATTGTGACTAAAAGACCATCCATTACAAAGATTAAGAGAAGCTAAAGATGCTTTCTGCCTCTTAATCTTTGTCTCCAGGAATCCAAACAGGCCTACCTTAGTATTGTGTAAGAACAGATTCATTTCTTTCTGCTTGTCTTGCCTGTTTAGACCCCTCACATTCCAAAATCCCAATTTATCCATTTTGGAGGGGGTTTGTACCTCCCCTCCCTATTCCTGGACCCATCTCTATTTTCCTTTGTATTCCCCTCTGGTAGCTTACTGTTGAGCTGCCTTTTCCTTGTTGAGTACCTTCTCCTTGTGTAATTCCTTTAGCTTTATTTCTCCTGTCTGTCATTGTTTTCTCTCTAGCACTCTCCTCTGCAATTTGCTCTTCCCCATTATCCTCCAGTGTTGAGAAAGAGTTACTCACTGGCATGATAATCTGCTTCTGTAAAGCTTTCCCTTGTACATTCTTTGGCTTTTGTTCCATGCTTTCCCCTGCTATGGCTGGCTTTTCTTTTTGCTCATTCCTCTCCACTACCTTCCACTCTTTTCTTACTTGTTCTGCTTGTGGTTTTTGTTGTACTCTTCTACATTGTTGGTCTGTGTGCCCAAACAATTTGCATTGTTGACACATTGTAGGCTTCCATTCATACTCTATTTCCTGTTCGATTATTTGTCCCAATTCATTTTCAAACATCACTGAATCTGGATATGTTTTGTTCAAAGGAACTTCCACCATTACCCTTGCATACATGAGTTTCTCCTTTCTCGTTGTTGCTGTATCAGCCTTCACGGGTTTCCCCACCAGCCCAGCTATTTTTATTAGAGATGCTTGCCCCCAGTACTTTAGATCTAGGCCCACTAGTCGAATCCATATAGGCACCTGCTCCACTATTACATTCATTATCTCCATTCCTGGTTTCCATGGCTTAATTATCACTGGTTTTCGATCAAATATCTGCACTCCCCCTTCAATTGTCCTTCATTACTGTGAAATCTGACCATGAATACTCCTTTTTTAATTTGAGCTACCTTATCAATTCCCAAATCCTTCCATATACGATTGAAATACCCCTCCACCACTGTTAAAGGCGGATTTGACCCAGCACAAAGCATACAACCGCAGTTTGCCAGTATTCTATTTCCTCTTTTACATCTTCCATCGTTATTTTGACATTAGCATTAGAATTCACTCCTTCTAGGTCAAATCCCTCAGTTACTGGTGTATTTCCAACTATTTTACTCCAGGATTTCAAATTTAAAGCTAGGGCTTGAGATTTACCTATTAGTTCCTCCTCTTTTCCCACTTTGTCCGCCCATGATTGCTTCCCGCTAGACTGTGCTTGATTGCTATTGTCCTGCTGCTTAGTTGCTTGCGTAATTGATTGCGTAGCTATCGGTGTTGCCATTGGCGTTTCCTTTGATGGCCCCGTCATAGGTGTCTGCTGCAGTTCCAACGGAATTACTCCTTGTAACACATTAATGCTTCTAGTTTTCTTTGCATCTTCAGTTTGTGGAATTGCTCTCATGCCAAAATTTCTCTGCTGATTTACCGTTCCTAATTGCCCTCTCCCTCCAGTTCGTTGCTTCTTCGCCATTTCAGCCTTAGCTGAGAGAAGCTTCTAGTTTCTCCGCCGTGGATACTATTTTACGACAACACATCCTTCTTCATTTGTCTGTTGACTCTATTTTGTATCCTGCTACCGTATGGTCGTGAAAATGGGTAATACCCAGATTCAACAACTTAAAAATGAATCAAATAGTCATGGTCGAGAGAACAATCCATTTTAATATCAAAACTGATATCCTCACCACCATGTGATATAAATAATTCATTTATCTCAAGAAAATTTATGAGATTATGGAACTAAATGAACATTTCGACAAGATTTGATGCAGATTTACAAAATAATGAAAAAGCACTTCTCGTCCATCAAATGGACCGAGTGCACCTTCTACATTAAAAATATAAAACACAAAGTGTTACTATGATACAAAAGGATTTTGGGATCAAACTCAACATCTAAACGTTGAGATAAAAAATCATCTAGACAAGGCAGGGACGGGGCTAGCGTTCTAGCTATGGGTTGGCAAAACCCAATAATTTTGGCCGAGATCCTATATTTATGTTAAGAAATCCATCTGTATAAATAATATACAAAGAACCCTCAGAAACCGTAAATTCAAGATTCTAAATTCGCCTCTGAGACAAGGAAATGTTCAGACATGATTATCGTTCTCTTTGACGGCTGTCATTAAACGATAGTCGGAAAACCCACCTGGGCTTCTTTGAACTCAAACTTGACTGGTGGTGATTTTGGTTGTTGTTATTGGTAGCATCAACAAAAGCCTTCAAACGTTGTATGGCGAGGTTTAGCGTATCTTCGGACATGTTAGCGAAACATGCACGAAACCAGCCCGGTTCTGTACAATGGCACGAGGATCCAGGGGAAATATTTAGTCCAACGTCGTACACTATTTTCTTCCATAATTCAATTTCTGCATCAAAAGTATTTGATCTTAAGAGATGTCTCATGTCAACCCAACAAAACAAGCCAGCATTGCTATCAAGGCAGCTAATTCCAGCATTTTGAAGACCTCGAACTAGCATTTCATGTCTTTTCTTGAGCCTCTTTTGATTTTCGGAGATATACATTTTTGTGAATTTTTTGTCAGAAAGCATGGCCGAGAGAAGGTACTGAGTTTGGGATGAAATTAATCCGAAACTGGACATTTTGGTGGCGGCGGCAACAACTAATTCGTCGTTGGAATAAATGGCACCAATTCGAAATCCTGGGAGACCTAAATCTTTTGAAAGGCTATAGACAATGTGAACTCGATCCCATATTTTGGAGTTCATATAGTTGTTTTCTATTAGTATTTCCATGACACTAACGAAGCTAGGCGAGTTAAAAACAGCGCCAGAATAGATTTCGTCGCTAATAAGATGGATGTCTTTTGTAGAAATGAAGGTTAAAAGGAGTTGAATTTCTTGTTTGCTTAATGTTGTGCCCAATGGGTTTGAAGGGTTTGTCACTAAAACACCTTTCACTCTAAGGTTTCGTCTTTTGGCTTCTTGGTAAGCTTCTTCAAGAGCAGATTCTGTTATTCTAAAGCCATTTGAACTTGTGCATTGTATTGGCACAATCTCAGCCCCCGTTCTCCATTTCAGATCTCTATCAAATCTGCATAACACAATACAATAGTACCATAGTTAGTAAAAAACATAGTTTTCATTTTAGCAAAAGAGATGTTAATACATTAGTTAGTAGTATAGTAAAATCTACGTTAGAAGCAAAAGGATTAACGTAACGTACCCAGGGTAGTATGGAGTGGGAAGGAAAAAAGCATCGCCGTGATCGGCGAGACAAAACATGAGTGTCTCATTTGCAGAAGTAGCGCCGGCTGTTAGTACAAGCTTGTTTGAATCAAAGCTCACTTTGTTCCCTCTTATTTCTGCCATGAATTGAACCAATGCCTGCATATGGTAAACATAACAATGTAAGACTATTATGTAAAAGATACATGCACACTTAATTAATGTAATATTTAAATTAATTAGTGGAATATAGACGTACCTTTTTTAAAGCTGGAAGGCCGTGATAATCTTGAAATAGGGCAAGCTCTCTAAATATTGACTCTCCATTTCTCTTAAATCCAGCTGCATCTGGGTTTTGAGCAAGCCATGACTCTAGTAAATCGAAAGAGAGCTGCACATCAAAACGTCCACGTAAATTCCAAGTCAAAACAAGAACTAAATGCATAAATTGAAAAATTAATGCGTTACTGTTATGTAACCTGATTCTCTGCAAGACCCATCTGGATTATTCCTTTAGGGTTACGAGTTTCATCGTATGGGTTCTTCTCGTACTCTTGCCATCCTAGGAAGTATGAAGAATCTTGTCCGTGCGAGTTACACATGACTTTCTTCGATAGGAGCTTCATATTTTCTGATGTTTTTGTCTTTGAAATCTCACAACTTCAAGCAAATGTGCCAAGAAATAAAAGGCCAACAAGAATTATTAGGCCAAGCAATAAGTAAGCACTTGAAAAATATTTGTTTGAGAGACAGAAAATAGTACAAAGAAGAATGAAGGGTTGTATTTGAATGGTATGTTGCTAGGTGCTAGATATCCGGGTGAGCTATACATATATAGGAGTTTAGTAACAAAGAAACAACGTATCAGCAATTAATTACTCACCATATTTTTCAAACTTTCACTCAGCCGTTTTTGTTTTTTTGTTCCTTTATTATGAAACAATCAATTACTAGTAATTTAAGTACATGTGCTGGGATATGTATAATAATTTAACGCGCTTTTATATCGTTTTATTGAACGTTAGGGACATTTGGGGTTCAATTGTCCCTGCTTGTCCAAGGGTTTAACGAGAAAGTGGAACTAATGTCCCCATCCATATATATTTTTCCTATACTTGTTAAAAAAAACACTTGGAAAAAGATAATGTTGCCGATGTTAATTAGTGTGCTACTAGTACTACTCTAAATTAACATAAGAAAAGTAATAGTACTCTTATTTTCTATTTTATATAATATTATTACTAACTAAGAATAAATTTGTCTCTATTATATATTCCTCTGTCCCAATTTAATGTATATTCTTTTGTTTTTAGTGTGTCTGGAGAAAAATGTCATGCTCCTTATTTTTTTTAAAAAAAAATTAAACTTTAAATTTTTCATTTTACATTCACACCCACACAAATGTTTATGGCTTATTTTAGATTACAAGTTTAAAAAATCTTACTTTTAAACTTGGATTAGCATCACAATATTCATCAATAAGTACTTAAAATATTTTTCCGACTCATAGGAATAGTGTTTCTTATATAAGTTATAATAATAATTAGTTATTAATTTTCTCTGAGAAATCGATGTTTGAAAGGAATATCGATTATGGTATTTGAAATATTTTTACTCTTTTCGGGTGAACAAAATATGTAACTTAATAATGTCGACAAGCAAATGAAGAAGACAACCATGGGCACACATATAAAAAATTCCATCCAAAAGTAAAGACCAGTGGCTGTGCCCGTGCTCCATTTGTTCCCTCCTATTGTCCCACATCTCCTCGCTATGTGTCGGCCACTCAATCTTTTCTTGTCCTCAGGTTGCATTGGGCGAAAAACAAGTTGTTTTCTTAATTAATTCTAAATTATATTTTTCCACATGGTAGTTTCTTATTTCTAATTATTTGAGTGAAATAGCCTATAAAATAATGAGTTCAAGTCAACCTCCGGTTTCTAATAGCTTGGCATTTCGCATTAGTGAAAATTAAAGAATTACAAAAATAAACAGCTCAACTATTCAAGATAGAGAAAATCTGCAATTCTTATAGCACAATTTAGTTTTATTTATTAGTGGGGCCGTTTGGTTTAAACAAGTGAGGAACAGTTCATGATCCAAGTCTGTAATTTTACTTATGATCGTGGAATTTTAAGTTAACCATAAAGTCAATGGTTGACTTCGAACAAACACTTATGACTCTAAAAAGTGTAACTGATATAATTAATTAATTAATTAAGGTAATAAGAAGTTGATAAAACGGAAACGCATATATATCTCATTTAATGGATTTAATTACTCGGGTGTGATTGACCAAATGAATCGTTTTTAGAATTTAATGAACAGATGCTTAAATCGTGCTTCAGTTTTGCACAACATTAAGGCAGTTTGGTAATGCATATTGTAGATCTGATTGACTGAATCAACCTTTGCCTTAAGCTTAATTAATTAAGGGAGTAGAAACGACATGATACTCAGATCTAAAACAAGGTGGTGACTGTTTTTCCTAGGATTGACTACGATTAATGTCTGGATCCATATGTAAATTTTGTGTATCTTTGATTGAAGCAGAGCATTGTGCTGTCTAAGTTCGGGATGAGAAATCTAAATTC